AGGATATAAATGCAATTATAAATAAATAAATAAATAAATAAATAAATAAATATACTCAAATCAGATATTAAAATGAAAAATAATCTCAAAACCAATTTAAACCAAAACCAATAACATCAAGACCACAAATTGTTTATAAAACCTGGAGAATAAAGTACTTTTAAAGTAATTCTGCACTGAAAAGATACCCCAAAAAAGATTTTATCCCATATCTCTGGCAACTTTATCTCTGTTGATATCAGATTCCAATGTGCATGCACCTCAGTCAAATCAGCCAAATCCATTGTGTCCTACTTGGTCTCCAATGGCTGCTAAAAGTCATCACATGAATATCCATGTATTTGAACTCATCTTTATGAAACAGATTCAGATGGGAAGAAGAGTGTATAGTACAGGGTGCTTCTTGGAACATTATTAAAGCTATCATGAGGAATTTATGCTGTGCATTTTTATGTCAGTCATAAAAGAAACTGTTAAAAAAGTAAATTCACAAAAATGGAGACACAAAACTGCAAATGATTCTCTGAGATCATCATACAAATCCTTAGTTGAAGAGACTTGAATCCAAGTCTCCAGCAGAATCCATTATGATATAACTGTGGTTTTGAATCAATGCTGGATTTTGGAATCTGCTTCAAGATGCCGCTGCCAATGGCAGCCTCAGTAAAATGCTCTCTAGTAGTTTGATCACTCTGCTAAACATCTAACTCCTACAGCACTGTCTTAGACCTAAAAATATTTACCCATGTAGTAGCTGTATTGCTATTATCCTTGTCATTTTCTCATCTTTCTCATCTTCTAATCTTTCTCACCTCTCATCTATCCTACTACCTTCTCATACTGGTATATTATGATTTATCAATTATTGTTGTATCTTAAGATTTGTGATTGTATCTTATGATTTATGACCTATGACTTATCACTTGGTTTGTATGTGCATTGAGAGCTTATGCCAATAAAGAATTCTATTCTATTCTATTCTATTCTATTCTATTCTATTCATTTTCATAGTTGTTTCTTGTTTCATAAACAAAATTTGGTACTTATTTAAAAACAATTAAATTGATCCAATTCAGGATATGAGTTATCAACTTTAAAGCTCAATAGTAATAACTGTGAAAGGGATCTCAGAGTCCTAGTGGACAATCACTTAAACATGAGCCAGCAGTGTGCTGCAGCTGCCAAAAAGGCCAACACAGTGGTAGATTGCATTAACAGAGGGATAGAATCAAGATCATATGATGTATTAATAACACTTTACAATGCCTGGGTAAGGCTACACATGGAATACTGCATTCAGTTTTGGTCACCATGATGTAAAAAAGATGTTGAGACTCTAGAAAGAGTACAGAGAAGACCAACAAAGCTCTGCAATTTACCATGGAAGTCTACGAATCTATGGAACCCTGAGGATGGTTGATGGATAGAGAACATTCCTTCTGTTTTGTTAAAATTTTAGCATTCTGAGTTTTTTAGCTATAAATTTTAACCTTGTTCTTAATTTTGTTTTTAACTATGCTTTTAGTCATATGTTTATATTGTTTTATTATGTATGTGTAGTAAACCACATACACAATGGTCAGTGTAGAAATTTAACAAATAAATAAAAAGGTAGGACTTGTAGGTTGGACACATAATAATAGATTCGTTTTTTTAAATAATGATTGCATAATAAGATTAAGATAAGGAAATTAGGAAGCAGGATCAGAGTAGGTATTGAAATAGGTATTGACTAGAAATAGGTATTGACTAGAGATAATGGAAGCTGTAGTTTAGCATATTTACATAGTGTCATGGTAGGAAAGTGGGTCTATATAGTAATTTGCAAGATAGACAATTTCTCACAGCATCCCCATTCTGGAACAGTTGCACAAGTCTTCCATACCTTTTACTGTTACTCCATCCTGCCGTGGGGAGTAGGGTGGAGCTATTCCTGTTTGCTTCTGCCCTTCTGACTTCATCCCTGACACTCGAAGTCCTTTGGGGGAAGAATCTGGTTTGGTCCCTGAGGAACTGAAAGGAAAAAAAGACCATGCAAGAAATTGCTTCAAAACTCAGGAATAACCTATCCTACATATTCTGCATGAATAAATACAGAGAGGACTTTGGTTTTCAAGGCTCCCTTTGATTGATGGCAAAACTTGAAGAAATGAAGTGTACTCTGGGAATGCTAATACAGAAATCCAAACTACTCTGTCAAGACTGGGAGCAGAAATTACAGAAGTGGTTTTAAAAAAAGAATTTTGGTCCATAGGTACAGTGTTCTTCCATGTGTGTTTTTAATTTGTGCCCGACTACTGTTCACACATAAATTCAGACTAAAATTAACAAAGCAGGAGCAAAAGGAAGCTATAGGCTAAGACATCCTGCCCCCAAATCTTTTTATTTTCAAAAAAGAATCCCACCTTACCAGTTGGGGGGGGGAGCCTCATGCTTGTATATACTGCTGAGAACACTATATCCAGAGTTCCTTCACAAACTGACCTTCATCCAGATATTTAGACTATAAAATGTAATAATTTTAAAATGGTAATATATGAGATGTCCTGAACCCATCTTTTAAATAATTAAAGGTTGCCTATATATATTATTCTCTATTTTTTCAGTTTCCTGAAATAAATTTCCAGACATCAAGCCTTTTAGTGATAAGGTATAAGTTCTTTGTGAACTTCACTTTACAAACAAGGCTTAACATAATCTTAGAAATAAATCCCTGAATAAATCAAGTTGAGAAGGGCTCCAACTTCATCCTAAACCAGTTTGGTGTAGTGGTTAAGGCATCAGATTAGAAACCAGTAGACTGTAAATTCTAGTCCCACTATAGCTATATAAACCAGCTGTGTGACTTTGGGTCAGTCACTTAGTTGTTGTCATGGGGAAATAGGAGGAAAAAGGAGTAATAGATATGTCTGCTGCCTTGAGTGTATAAAGAATAATAAAGACATGATATAAAATAAAATAACATAAATAAACATAAAAATGTATATAGCAATATTTTTAATCTGAGGTGTATTCAGAACCTGAATTCTTCAAATGAAATAGACCAGATTCAGGTTTATCATCTAAGAAATATGAAACTCAATTTTTAGCAGAAAGAGGGCTAATTCTCAAAGAGAAAGATAGTAAGATGGTAAGTAATTTACCTCACTTTTCGGTAATCATTTAGTTTCTTATTGATCAGTGCTTGGCTTGCAAACCCAGGGTCCTGGTGATTAAAAAAAAAAAGAATACAGAAAGGAAGGGAGAAAAACAAACAAGGGATATGAGAACTCAGATAAACATTCGTTTCAATGTTTTTCTATTTGACTGAAACAATCTCTTTTTGCCGATTTCTTGGAAAAGTTAAAATAAATCAAAACAATTTTTAGAATTACTGATTGAAAACTCCTGACAGTTCCAACAGTCTGATTTTTAATTAGTATACATATACATATACATACATACATACATACATACATATATATACACACACACACACACACACATACATATATATATATTATATATATAATATATATATATATACTACAATTATATATATATAATTATTATATATACTGTATATATAAAATTATTATGTATTTATAAAATTATATATATATATTAAAAATTTGCAGACGCTTCCTGTCCAACAATGCTAAATAAGTTCCCCATGTTCCTACATAAAGGTAGGAACTTATTTAGCATTGTTGGACAGGAAGTGTGTGCAAATTCTATTCTGCAGTCTAAGGACTAGCTGGAGAAAAACATCAATTCTGCTCACAGTATGAACAACCAAAAAAGCATCATAATTTAGTCAGCTGACCAGCAGAGGTCACCGTAATAAACCAATTGGAGCTTCTATCAGAAATTCCATATTAGAATAGAACTCAGGAACTGTAGAAAATTGATAATATTCTTTCTCAAATTTGACAATTCAAAGAAGCTATATGCACACAAATCATGAGCCTCCAATGATTGCTATAGGATACATTCCAGCAGCCATTGGCTATTCTGTTTGAAGTTTGGTGAGTATAGTTCAGTAGCCTCTGCAGGCTTTATGTTCACAATCCTTGCTATGGTTGCAGCGGTGGAAAGTATCCAGAGATCCTTGTATATTGCAGGAAAGCCTTGGCTGTTTTTAGCCATAGAACTTATTAACTACAAGAGGCATTTGCAGTTGGGTTCTTCCTAAGGGTGGAAGATAAATTAAGAAAAAGCAATGGTGGGACTTCTAAAAGAAGTACATTTAGAGAGCCAGTGGCAAAAGAGAAAGCCATCAGGAGAATTACTTCTCACCTCGCCCTCGGCTTTGCTACTCTCCCTGATGGCTTTAATCCAGGCCAGCATGTCATCCCGGTCCTCGGCCTGAAAGAGACATTCACAGAAGTCAGCGGTCGTCAGCCGGAAGACGTGCTTCCTCTTGGTGTCACTGTAGGAGATGTCTACCAGGCACGCTCGGATGCTGATTGGTGGCTGCTCCTCCTCACCTGGGGGCGGGGCAAGGGCCACAGCCTCCCTTCGGTCCTTGCATAAGTAGAGTGAGTGTGCACGCAGGACAGCAAAGGCCCGTTTCCACTGCCGGATGCCTCCGCCAATTTTCTGCAAAGGAAAGGAGGAATGAGACATGAGAGAGATGAGGAGAAGAAAAAGATCCATAGGAGAGATATAGAAAAAAAACAGAATGAGAGAATGATTTGTTGGGCACAAGGAACCAGAACAACTCCATGAAAAAGTAACTGCCAAAGTAATCTTGCTAGACTAATTACATCTTCTTCAGAACAGGCAGGTACAGGCTTCAAGAGTCTGTCCTCTGTCACTTCCTACCATGGAGAGACTCCAAGCTAGACTGTTTCTTTACTCCCCTCCTTTACTGTAACTGGAACTTCCGTTTCATCTTCTGTCAACATGTCAGTTCAGGGGGAGGATATATTCTAGCCTTCCCTAATCTGGGCAGATGTGTGGATTTCAATTTCCAAAAATGCCAGTATGCAATTCCATATAGGGTGCCCATATTAAGAAAGATTGCAACTAGCCTGACTCAGCTTACTTAACTTAAAACTAGATGCCATGTAAGGTTAATCCTATAATAATTTCTTGCTCTCAGCCTTCCATCTGGATTTATATAAAAAAATCCATAGCATTCTTCCAGCAACTCTACAGAATTTTAGACTAGTCCTACCTAGAAATGTGCTGAGCCAAACCTAAAGCCTTTTACATGCAAGACCTGTACTCTACCATGGTGCCAAAATTAAAATTGTCTTCTAAAAATACAGCAATGCAATATAAACTGAATTATTAGAGTCTTCAAAAGTTAAAGTTCTGTTGTAGTATTGAACAGATTTATTTTATAAATCTGAAATTCAAATCAAGCACATTGATATGTCTGCTTATTTATAAAACTCTTATTAATCTAACAATTTCCATATTAAAATATTGCTAAAATTTCAATACAGTTTCATTTCCAAGAATTGGTATGCAAAGTTTATCAATACATAACTGTCATTCCCTACTAGAAGGGAAAACCTTCTAAAATATAAGCTTTTACAATATTATTTTTAAAGCAACTGTAACAGTAAAGTTGCATCAGATCAGAATTTTCACATATTAAATGATCAAGGAAGAGCTACTTCTCTCTTATTGCTATTTTACCAATTGTAGTTTTCACCCTTCTCTTCCTTGTTAAAATTCCAATGTTATTGGGTATATTCCTTGTGGGTTGACAGAATCCCTGTGTGAGAGAGCAGACTGCCCAGAAAATGATTAGCACTTGTGCTGCTTTCATTCTGTCTCTTTAAGCCCTCTCCTCAGCCTGCAGAGAAACGTTGGTTATAAAAGCTGTGCTGAAAAATAGCTGATGGTTGTGAGGGAAAGGGATATTTGTTTGTGTGTGGAAATAAAACAGCTAAAAAACTAATTTTCTCTAGTAATATTCACAAAGAGTAGGAATAATAGCATTTATAAAGAGTAGTAATTAGAGTAGCAGTAGTTGGACTAGTAGCAGTAGTAGCAGTGGGTAAGAGTGGAGTAGTGCTGAATAGTGAGTAATAGCTTGTGAATGCTTATATGTGTATGTTTTCTAGGGATCTGTTTTGTGTTGACTCTTTTGTGTTTTGAGCCCATGGAATTGGTTATACTTAAAAGAACTCATGACTAAGTAGTAGAGGTGGGATATCCAACACAATGTAGCAACCACACAAGTAGAAGTAACTTATATTTAAGAAGTTCATTATCATGCCATGAAAAAGCAAACATTAGATGCAAAAGCGAAGGCAGGTTGACTGTTATAGAACTCAGACAGACATTGCAGGAAAGGGCCATCATACTAACTGCAGAAACCAGACCTTTTACAAGAACCTATACTACAGAAACAGATATGGAAAATGTAGCAAGGAAGATTCTTCCTTAGAAAAGACTTCTATCTTGGTAGAGCCAAGTAACCACCCTATGCCTGTAGTTAAGCCAAAGAAGGCAGAACAGCCAGAAAAGGGGCTAAACTCAGATACCTGGGCCAATATCATCACAGGAATGTTAAGGAAACAGCACAAGGAAAGACTTTGATTAATTAAAGATAACAACTGCTTTGGAGAGAGAAAGGATAGAACCAGGGGTGTCAAGCTTGCAACGTCACATGACGTGTCGCAATGTATCGTGACTTTTTTTCCATTGCCTGCAATGGGAGTGGGCACGGTTTCGCCATGATGCATCTGGCCCACGGGCCAGCAGTTTGACACCCCTGGGCTAGAATGAGAAAGGAGTGAAAGAGCCGTGGGAAGAAAAGATTGGGAGGGGGGGAGGCTGAGAGACCTCCTTAAAGGAATATAGTCGCCAGAAGGGGTACATTCACCTCTAGGTTTTCAGAATGTGCAGAGAGGGCAGGTGGTCCCAAAGACATAAAAATCTCTAAATTGTCAGAGGAAGAAGCCTACTTCACTAGGTTTGAAATTGTTGCTACCTGTTGTAAATGGCCTGGGAGTGAAAATAGCCCTTTGTTTAACAGAAAAGAGCTTATAGTAGCTTTCAAGCAAGAGAAGTAATGGATTACTCCCGTGTTAAAGAGATAATTCTATACAGGTATGATTTTCCTAAATCTATAGGCAGGAGCTATGACATATGGCAGACATGAAGGGATTCATGAATTGTGGGTGAGGTTGAAAGACTTAGGCAGGAAATAATTGAGGCTAGATGAAAGGAGCAAAGAAAAAGTGGTAGAGGAAGTAATTTTAGAACAGTTTCTACAGATACTCCCTATTAAAATTTTGGATGTAAGAACATAACCCAGAAACAGGTCAAAATTGACTGAGGACTGCTTGGCAGTATAAAGGTCACAGGATATTAGAAAGGAAGATACAGAAGAAGAAAGGTGAATAAGAAATCCAATTGCAGAGAGTAGGAACTATAAGGAGTTGGAAAGTTAAAGGTAAAAGGAGTGAAGAAGCCTTTAGCTCCTGCTCAAACAAAGGAAAGCATTGGAAGTCAAAGAGACCTGTAGTTATTACAACTGTAGGGAAAATAGACATTTGTTAAAAAAAACCTCTAAAGACAGAGAAAAAATGAAATATCTGCAGTAGTACAAGCATCTCTGGGGAAAAATGTTAATGGGATCACTGTTAGAGGTTTAGAAGATAGTGGAAATGGACAGACATTGATACATTCTCATTTAATAAAGGCAGCTATCCATAGGAAAAGAGCCTCTGACAAGTGTGTTTGGGCAGACTGAGATGGTCCATCAGTTAAAACCAAAGTGCAAGGAGAGGGAAAGGAATAGGTAAAGGTGGTAGGAATAATTTCTGACTTAAAATGTAATCTAAATTGCGCATGTCTGCAAGATGGACGCTGCCCTTTAGCTCCACACAAATGGAGTGGAAGAAGGGTAGAGGGGGGGCTTCGGAGACCCCCGAAGGAGCCAGAGGGGAGACCCCCGAGGAGCTGGAGGATCTGCCCCCTCCCTGGTGAGTTTTCCGGGAGGGGGAGAAGACAGCCGCGGGCCGCTCGCCGTTTTCT